TTATTGTATGTTTTTAAGCCCTTAAAATTAGCCAAGGTACCCTACTCGGCCCGTTGTATATTAGCAATCGTGCATCTTGGAAATAATGTAAGATCAGAAGAATTTCTTTTTTGGAATGCAGCATTTGGAAATTGTAACTAAGACATACAAGTAAATACCCTGTAACAACAGTTTACTCCCACGCACCTGCCGACTAATAATATAGTCTTCCGCTTTAAGGACCAACAACAAGAATATTCGCTTTGAAGAAAAGCACTAATGGACTTTCCGATTTCCTATATCTTATTCAGGTTCTCCAAACATTAGAAGAACAGAAGCAAAAAAATTCTTTGTTCATTTCAACTCGACTCTAAAACTATTCCAATCTTAGGAATGAGTTCGCTTCCCCCCCCCCCCCCCCCCCCCCCCCCCGAAAACGTACCAGGAAGCCTAATGAAGGACCTAATGTACATTCCATTTATAGCCTCTGTGCGCCTGATTAATCTGTCAGCCTCAGAATGCTTAGTCACTTTAATAGGGTGTTAAACGCTGTATTTTAGTATTGGCGATAACCAGTTGATAACTAGCTTAGCTTGGTCCTGGGTCTGAGCAAAACGCCAGCGAGACAAGACGAATCGAATTGACAGCGCATGCTCCGTCAATAGTGCCTCAACCCAGGCGCAGAAAAACTGACTCAAACAAAGGATCGTTAATGATCTGTTTCGTAACTGACATAAGATCCTTACATGAGACACTCAGCTTCACTAGAAAGCTCCCAGGACCGAGTGTTGTAATCTATTTAAGCTCTACAGAGGCAGAGAGAGGGAGCTAGCAGAAGGACGAAGTGGTCACGATCTGGATCAGTTACGTCGTGCTGGCGTGGGGGCGATTGTTCTGTGATAGGTATTGATAATCACATAATGGGCACATGGTGGGCAAGGGCATGACGTAATTATGTGTTGGGGGAGGAAAAACGCAAAATAGAAAGAAAAAGGTAGGACAGCGGTAGTGTGTCGCTGCCAATAGGGCTTTTCGAGGGGATTAAGTATGGTGGGTTCGAGGAGGCAGATGGGTATTTGATTGGCAAGGTAAAAAAAGTAGGCATCTTTATTTATTAAACCAAATGAAAGAAGAAAAAAAGTAATGGTTTGGATTCTCAGTTTTCAAAGCAACAGGCCAGTGCATTTTGGATGAGAACTGTTGTCAAGCAAAAAAACCCAACAAAACATTGTTCATTCTTATGTAACTCTACACGCACAATGACGGAGAAACTGCAATAGCCAGACGGCCAAGAAAAGTATTCGTGCTTAACTGACGCATACGGACGAACTTCGACATTTGCAGATACACGACAGAAAACTGGACTCTGAGTGTGGTTTTTGTTGCTTGAGAAATTGGAGTCAAAAACAAGAAATAAGAACACCGACAATAATGATTGATCTCAAAAGGTTTGAGAATTCGATATTAGCTCTTGGTAAGGAATGGGATTAAAGGGAGACGAACACTCCGGGAAAAAATTAAACGAATGACTTTTATTCACTTTCAAGTAATTGTGCAAGAAGTTCATATGTATATAGGATGTACTAAGGGTGAATTTGTTGATTTTGTTTTCTCTGAAAAAAAAATGGGTCTCTGTTGCGGCAATCTTTGATTTTCAAACCAGTTTCTTAGTGTAGAAGAATTTCATAGAAAATATTGAAACTACATCCTGAAATTTTGGCACACAAGTGTAAACTTATATGGACTGTGGATCTGTGTGAGGATTTTGACTTATCTGTAAAAATAAAAAAAGTGAGCGCAAAGTCACTGGACCCCCGAGAGTCAGTGACGAAACTTTGGGGTATATTTAAAAAAAAAAGAATATTCCCACAAGTTACCAATATTTCCCAACATCCACACACAGATCCCCAGAATGTATCTTAAAGCACTCGTATGCCAAATGTTAAGCTTCTAGCTTCAGTAGTTTTTGAAAACTCCTTACTCCAAGGAGGTCACCTAGGTCAAAATGCAGATTTGGGAGAAAAACGGAAAAAACATGAATTTAAAAAAAAAAGGATTTTTAGTTCAATAAGCACATTTCAAACGCCCTTTTAGATCATTAGTGTTTTTTTTTCAATGTTTCATCATTGTGACCTGATAGAACAGATGTCAAAGGATGTTTTTCCATAAAAAACAAAACTTCGACAGTATGAAAAATTTTATCGATATTCTCTCGAGCTTCTCTTAATGCCACTTTCAACGAAGTAATGTTTGATAGATAGATAGTTATAGTCAAACCTCGTTGGACAGCTCACATTTACACACATCTGCGAGTTCGGTTTTTTTTCTCCATCATTTCTCGCCGATGCTCCTGGGTTGCACTAATTCTGAGAATGCTATTACTTTCAGGCTTTGGTCAATATTTGAAAATCATTGGAAAGCAATTTCAAAGTTGCCAGTTCAAAGTCATAGCAATTGCACCACCTCAGCCTGTCCACAAAATGTCTGATGTTGCCAAATAGTTGAAATAGCAAGAGGGTCAAAAGACTGGCGTACGCGCCCGTGAGTCTTTTTTATTGTGAGGAGTGATGCTCAAGTCTGGGGAAGTCCGAGGACTGACAAGTATCAGATTAAAAGTAAACTGCACACAAACAGCTTAGCGTCTGATTCAGCAAAAATTTCAGTTTGAATTTACGCAAAGTTCGGCGCAGCTGTACGTGGAAGTGATTGCTACTCGTTTTCCCCTGTCTAGGTCAATCGCGCAGCACTGGCTACAGCTTGTAATTTTTCTCTACTAGTCAATATGGCAATCGATGCTATCTCGTTAAACTGCCAGCCCCGCTGTACCGTTAACTTCATACTCGTCCCAAGGAAGGTGGAATGACGAAGTTTGACAGTAGATTGATAGATAGATAGGTGGATAGATAGATAGATAGATAGATAGATAGATAGATAGATAGATAGATAGATAGATAGCAGGTTCTCCGACTACAACGGCCAGCTCCCACAGAAATAAGACACGTTGACAGAAAGCCTTGACAACTTCTGAAAGAACCAAAGTTTAAGACCTCCTATAGCTACACTTCCAAAGGAATGATAAGCGATTAGCATTGCTGCACTTTAACAACTAAAAGAGGCCCACACTCCCCCCCCCCCTTAAAAAAGAAAAAAAAACAACTACCCATAGCCAAAACAAAAACCCAACCAACAACATCAACAACAACAACAAAACCCCCATGGAAAATGGTCTCCTCATTCTGCAAAGGTGAAAGTGGAGTGTTACCTCTTTCGTGCAGTTTATGCTGGCTTGATTTGGTTCTAGTTATTGGTTGTGATAGGTAGAGAGTACTTGAATTACGACCAAGCGATCTTGACTTTTTTGTTCATAAAATTGATATTGATTTAATAAAAATAGCTGCTCACGTCTCACGAAAATTTCATTAAAAAAATAGTTTCACGGTTGAACGGGGTTTGTGACTTCTGGCATATCTGTACTTAACTACTGTATGCTTGGACACGTTGTACTACTCTGACAGCATGGTAGTTGGTTCAGTTTCAGTATAAAGTTTTATGACACTTGTATAATACAGATAGGCAATTTAAGTCTCAAGGATTAAAATTGTTACTGATGAGTAACATACAAAGAAAAGAAGGAGGAGAGATAAGGGCGATAGATGTTTGATAGGAAGGGAGTAGAGAACCACACCAGAGTACCCGCCAACCACCCACGCCTAGTAATTAAGGTGTGTGCAAGAAATCGTTCATTGAAGTTAGTGAAGTGAATGCATTTGTCCGTATACTTAGGATCGCGTACTTATAGTTTTGAGAGTGATTTGTGCCGCTATGAAAAAAAGGCTTGCTGTTAAAGCAAAAACACAACCCCGCTTGCTCTTACATAATGTATTGTGTTGTTGGCAGAAATGAATTTTCTTTAGTCGAATTTGAGTAATCTTCTTTCCAAGCC